GGTTCAGCTGCCCTGGACGGGACCTTAGCCTGGGCAGCATGAACTTGGGAGAGGGAAGCAGAGATGTTAACAGGGCTTCCCGCAGCCCTGTGTCCCAGCTGGGGTCTGTTCCCGTGACCAAGCTGCTCCATGCTGAGTCCCCTGGGCAGGGGCTGCTGGGGAACCACGGGCATGGGCACGGATTTCGGAGCGCCCAGCCGAGCTGCCTGCAGGCTTCGGGGCCTCCCATGTTCCCGTTCCTGTCTGCAGACTTGGTGTGGCCTCTGTGAGCTCGCAATGCGGAAGGAGGGGCATCCTCACCCCTGCTCAAGAGGGTGGAAGGGGAATCCGTGCCCGGGTCCCGCTGGGCACCTCTGAGGAAGACTGCAGGAACTGTCCATTGGGACTGTGTTCAGCTGTTACACGGACCGTCACTGTGTGGTCCACTCCCTGTCCAGGGACCATGGCGTGCAGATGCTGGCAGGATGAAGGACAGAGAGGAGGGAAGGGGCTGCACCCCTGGAGCAGCAGGCCTCTCAGGTGGCGCCAGCCTGGGTGCTTGAGGAGCCTCCCAGCCCCCGCCTGGGGCCCGGGTCGCCCTGTATCAGGTCCTGACCTCTGCCGCACGAGGCCTTGGCTAGAGAGAAGTTTCTCTCGCTGCGTGCCAGCAAGCGGCGTCACAGGGCGTGGCGCCCCACTTCCATCAGGGAAGGGCCCGGCTGGGGTGTTTATTTGGAAGGAGACGGCTGCAGGCAACAGGTCCCAGACAGCTTGGCACCAGTGAGATTTTTCTGGACGGTCGTCAGGGAAATGCCAGCTTGTCTCAGGGAGTCTCCTCCTCTGCAGGAGCCTGAGGCATGGGCACAGGGCCCAGCACCAGCCTAAAGTCTCAGTGAAGGCTCTGCCTCCCCACACACATGATCAGAACAGATCCAACTGCAGACACACCTGTGCCAGTCTCCAGGCCAGCTGGGTGTGGCCTTGTGTCATCTGCCGAGACCTCCCAGGTGGAGGGCCCCTCCCCTTTGTGCTGGAGGATGAGTCGGAGGCCGGTGAGGGGCAGGACCACGGCCCCTACGGCTGCTTAGAGTTCAGCCGGGCGGGTGGCAAAGGCCAGATTCTCCGCAGGGTCACAGTGCAAGCACACACTGGGCACATTCATCGTGGCAGGCATCATGGGGGGTTAGAGATGAGTGACACTCAGTGTTGTCATGGACAAGCCTGGAAATGCCAGCTCTTCCCAAGAGGCTGTAGCAGGACATGTGCGTGGAGCTGGGGTGTGTGGCCAGGGGGTGACACGTGGCGGGGGGGGGGTCAGTGCTGCTGGGGGAGCAGAGGAGGGGGCGGGGCCTGGCTGGCTGCGGGCCGTCCCCAAGGTCCCTGTGCTGGAAGCCTGGCTCGTGGGCTGTGTCGGGGGCAGTAGGCTTATGGCTGCCTGGTAGAAGGAAGGACGGAGTCCGTGGGCAGCCTGGCTGGACTGCATTCGTTCCCAGGAGAGTGCCCTGTTGCGAAAGCAGCCCCCGCCCCCGCCTGTCCTTCTCTGTCTCCCGTGTACACATGACCTTCTGCCTGTGGTCAGGGCCCTTTCTCTGTCTCCACCGGGCTGGGACGTGCTCCTGCCATCGGGGTTTTCCAGCCACCAGAACTCCAGCCACGGAAGCGGCTTCCGGTGTGACACACTCTGCGTGGCAGAAAACGGACAGAGACGGAGGGGCCCTCTCCGCGAGTCCTCGGCGGGGCGCGTTTCCAGGGCTGTCATCCTTCCACCACCTTTAGAAACGAGCAGGAGGAGCATCTCTCGGGAGGCTGACCGCATGCAACAGAGCAAATGGGGGTTTCCATCTGCCGTCCCTTTGATGGCAAATACTGTTATCACTGTTCTGCTTTGTTCTGATTAATTGTCTTGCTCAATATTCAATATTCTGTTTTGATAAGCTCTATAGTGTTCTGAATCTGGTTTGATTTTGCTATACCTGATTGAAAGGACAACTATTGTAAAGATAACGAAATATACTGTGGTACCTGTTACTGCTACCCAGTAACCCGCTGTGACTCGGTACCAGTTTCACTGCACTGTCTCCAAAAAAGAAAAGAATCGAGTTTTGCCAACTCCTCGTGGTTTCGCTGGAGCTGACCCTTCAAAATGGGAATCGTCTAGTGCTTCGTCCCAGCCGCGGTCACTTATGACGCTGACCGTGACTCTAAGCTTCCTCCTGACCCACCTCAGGACTATGTCAGAATAACACAGGACGTGAAGGCCACAGCACAGAGAAGGCGCAGTTATTATCTACTAAGCTCACTGTGACGTCTTCACACTCAACCTGAAGTTGAATCGACTGATGTGCGTGAATAAAATAAAAACAAAATAGGAAAAAAGTCAGCGGGAGGGAGCAGGGAGACTGAGTGTGCACGTGGCGCTCTCGGGCGCGGGTGACCCAGTCACCCCGGAAGACCTGGGAACACTGAGGGGACTGTCTCAGGGTCCTGCAGAACAACCCGAGACCCGCTGCCTGGAATCAGGCTGCAGGAGGTGCTTCGTGGGCGGATACACGTGCAGCTCAGGGCCACGTGTGTCACGGGTCATGGTGGGGGGCGCGCAGAGCTCATGGCAAGCTCACAGGCCCTGCGGGAGGGTCACAGGGCAGTGGCCCTCAGAGCAGCAGGGTGTGCCCACAGGCGGAGCCAGGGCTGACCTGGCCATTGGGCCAGCACCTCTGGGTGTTGCTGGCACTGAGGCTCCACGGGCTGTGCTCTGGGGTCCTTTGTCAGGGTCATCACCATCAGAGAAGGGGCTGGACTTGAGTTCCGGTCTAGAATAGGACCAGGCGTGCCAGGCAGCAGGAATCTGAGGCCTGCTGGCTGGTCCAACACACATGGGCTCACCACACGTCCTGGGAAGTCCCCTTGTCTGGTCACACGTGATCCCAAGGTCTTTCACAGCTGGCCGGGAGGATAGTGAGTTGTACCGCACGCCGTCCCGAGGCTGCCCGGAAACGCTCTGCCGGGACCCTGTGGTCCTTTGTGGACCCCCGCCCCGCCCCCAGCCTCCTTCCTTGGCTCTGCCCCCAAAGCTCCTTCCTCTTGGCATGGGAGGGGACAGCACCCGGCTCCCTGCCCTCCTGGATCCTCTCCACCGCTCCTCCCTCCTCCTCTGAAGCCGAAATGCTGCCCTTCCCTCTAAGGACTGTGGATGTCCCCTGTCACAGCCTTTGTCCTCCTGGACTCACTTGGTGGGCTGCCTTCCGGGCCGACCCATGGGTCTCCAGTGACACGTGGTACTGTCCACCACACTGCTGGACGTCCCGTCCAGGGCCTCGTGGGCACATGCTACGCAACCGCATGTGGACGAGCCATGTCCGGCCAGGCCCTCCTGCTGCCGAAGGCCGCCGACTGCCTTTCCCCTGCGTTCACCACTGCTGCGATGGCCGTGTGTCTGCTGACAGGCACTTGGGTTTGTCCAACCCGGGCTTTTGTGAATAACCCCGCCAGAAACACGGGAGTGCGGACTTTTCCTTGGGATTCTGAGCTCAGTTATTTGGGATTTTGCATCCCAAAAGTGGGATCCCTAGTGTTTAGGGTTCTTTATTAAAGAATCTTCACCTGATTACTGATTTCCGTTGCGGCTGTACTGTTTCACTTTTTGTTTTTGTGGGAAAGGGTCTCACTGTGTAGTCAGGATGGTCTTGAACTCACAGCGATCCTCCTGCCTCAGCCTCTGAGTGCTGGGTTTCAAGCATGTGCCACCATGTTTTACTTTTTCACTAATGGTATGCAAGGTTTCCAGTCTCTGTGACTTCTCCAGAACCTTCTTCTCCCCTTCTCTTCCTCGCTTCCCTCCTCTCTTCCTTCCCTCCTTCTCTCCCCACTTCTTTATTGGAACAGCAGCTGTCTGGCAGGTGTGCGGTGGGATCTCGGAGTTCTGACGTTTGCTCCCCGCTGACAGCAGTGTGGAGCATGTTTTCACACCCCAGCTCCCGTTCTGTGATTCTCCGTAAGCTGTCTGTTGAGTCTTTTGCCCCTTGTAAAATGAGGGTTTAACATTTTTACTCATTTTTGCTGGCAAGGTCTAGACTCTCTCTGTATGGCGAAATTTCACTCCGCCCGGGATCCGGTCCCCGTCCGCCGCAGCTGCCTGCTGACTCTGACCCTGTCCTGTGTCTCTTGGCTGTCTGCTCTGCTTCCTGTGCTGAGACCAAGGTCAGTGGAACCCAGGTAAACTCTGGGGTGACAGCAATGGCACTGTCTGTCCTGTGGTGGCAGGACACGAGTGTGTCCAGGTGTCCCGCCCATCACACCGTGCATGCTGGGGTCCCCTGCAGCATCCGTGAACCGCACCTCAGTTAAGCTGGGGACTACAAGCAATTTCACACGGAAAAAAAACGCTACAGTAACATTTTTAAAACTGCTGATCTAAGGGTGGTTTTCAGCCTTACACACCCTGGGGGTCCCAGCTCGTCTTCTGGAGATCAAATGTGTCTTTATTTCTAGATACTTTGGGCAGCCTAGCAATCTGCAAGTTTGTATCCACCACCGCCCGGGCACCAGGCACAGCTCTGAGCGCTCAGGGTACACAGTGCGTGCGTAGTAAGGCCCACCAAAGCCCTGCCTCAGGAGCTCCTGTCCCGGTGGGGACAGCCGGAGTGGGAAACCGTGAGGCTGGGAGGAGGAGGAGGAAAGAGCCGGGCAAGGCGTGGAGAGGCCGTGGGTGGGGGGTGGCACCCCGGCAAGCCAGCGGGTGGGTTCTGTCCTCAGCCAGGGAACAGTGGGCGAGGTCAGAGCTCTTTGTGGCTGGCACCCTGTCTGGGGCGGGGGGAGGGGAGGAAGCTACCAGCCCCTGGTGGATACAGGCCAAGGATGCTGCTGGCACCCCAGAGCAGTGATGGTGAACCTTTTAGGTTTCCACGATAACAAACAGCTCACTGTGGCACGGGCGCCATGGTTTGCCACCCCCGTCCCAGAGTGACCCTCGGAAAGGATCTGAGGCTCCAAAGATCGACAGGGTCAGGACAGAGGGGCTCCTGTTAATAAGTTAATCAGCTTTACTTGTAACCCCTGCAACGGCCCCGTTTCCAAGGTGGCCTAACTAGAGCATAGCTTGTAGAGGAGGAGGAGGGGCAATGTGACCCGAAGCATCAGGCTTCTCCCTTTTCCTCGTGGTCTAGAAGTCTATGAGTGCAGCAGGACAGTGCCCAGCCCCTGGAGAAGCTGGAGGCTCTGTTACGGCCCCGGGGAGCGAGTGGACGTAGATCTCTTTGGGCTGCTGCTTCCCAGCCATGATGGTCTTGTGGTGGGGTTCTGTGGAATCCTGAGCTGTGGGGTCTGAAGGTGGCTCTGCCTTCCGTCTGCACAGTCAGGCCTGGCAGAAGCCTCCTTGTCTACCACACAAGGCGGACTCACCTAAAGAATGACGGAGGTGTGAGTTCAATCCCCAGTTCCAGAAGAAAAGAACAGAATGCTGCAGAGGCAGACTGAGAAGAGAGGACAGAGTGACAGAGCCTCCACCACACAGGTCAGGCTCCGCCCAGTGGTACCGCAGTATCAGCCCTAGACTGAGATGCAGGAACTGATAAACTTATTTCTGTTTCTCATGACTACCTGAAGTTGGGTTTTCTGCTAGTTTTAATTGAAAGGATTAATTCAGCAGCTTTTCACTATTCTGCACCATCATCAGTATCAGTCACCATTAAGATGAACTCTGCCTAAGCCCGGCTCTTTACAAAGTGCTTTCTTGCCGTTGAAGGCACTGAATTGTGATCCCCACTGAGCGCTGAGGCTTCGAGCAGACTCCACACTCAGCATCCTGGGATTGTTCAAGTTATCGCTATTTACTTGACTCACTATTATGTATCTGTTATGAAAAGGGGTTCTCTACACATCACGGAGACCGCATGGCCGGAGGTCAGACTGTGTGGTCTGAGGTCCTGCTCACCCGCCTCCTGGTGGGACTGAGATCAGCTCACCTGCGCTCTGTGAGTTTCGGTGAATCAGTCAGCTTCTCTGTTTTTGGGACAAATGATCTGGCACGGCAGGATCACGGTTCCAGGACTCTCTGCGGTCAGCCAGCCCCCAGGCAGGAGCGTGCGGTGGGTGAGCTCCGCAGAACAACATCGCCAGTCATGTGGCTGGAGGACAGCAGCAAAGGCCCGGAGGAGGGGCCCAGCGTGCACCCCACTTCTCCAGGTGTGTGCAGGGCAGCTTGGCTATCACATGCAGGTCCACGCTCTGAGTGACAGGTGCACACTGTCCTGTCCACCTACTTCTCCAGATGTAGGGGAGGAAATGACAGCGAGCAGGGGTCAGGAAACGTGACTCTGCGGTGACTCTGAGCCACACGGGGGCTCTGGGTTAGGAACATCGTCTTCCGGAACACGGCCACCTCTCTGCTTAGCTGCCGTCCACAGCTGCTGCTGCTCTGTGGGGCAGAGTAGCCGTAACAGAGTTTGGGATCTGGGAGAAGCAAGCGAACGGGGCCAGGGTGACTTCTGTCCTGTTTCTTACCTGGTCTCTGCAGTCACATGTGCTCTGACAGCACGGTTTCCTCCTGGGCCTCCCTGTACCCCCCACCCCAACCCGGAAGCTCCCAGCGGGCATTAGGCTCATGTGCTAACACCCAGTGCTGGCAAAGGATGGTGGGTGATGACAGTGGGAACCAGCTCTCCAGAGGGCAGTGTGATGGCATTCTCCAGCGCCTCATAGAGCGGCACCCCCCCCCACACACACACTTCATCACCGCACTCCTGGGAAGCTGTCTTCAGAAATAACCAGAGCTGAGGCGCCATCCGGCCGTTCCCGAGCTCCTTTCCCGAGGCTCTTTCCTGGCATGGGACAAAGCCCAGCGACAGCAGCGGATGGAGGATCTCAAGGAAACCGCGTGTTTAACAGGACCCCGGCTGGCGCAAGCAGGAAGCACAGATCACTGGACGGTGCTTTCCTCCGGGCAGTGGAATGCAAGAGGCTTTTACATTACTCATTTCATTTTTCTTTTTGATCAGAAAAAGAAGAATTTAGCCAAGAATTATTGGTTGGATGAGCTTGAGAGAGGGCGGCTGATCTGAAGCTCTTGGCCGGCTATGAACAGGGTGTCCCGCTCAGGCAGGGCGGGCCTCTGTGAGCAAGCTGGACCTCGGAGTGCGCGCTGTCTGAATCAAACACAGCACCCGCCCCCACCTGCCCCTGCCCAGCTGCGGAGCCAGGCGCCCACCGTTAGCCCAGCACTGGGCTTGGGCCCTGTGAAATGACCTGGCCGGGTCTCACCGCCCGAGCCCCGCCCAGACTCTCAGAGCCAGGGGCTTCGACTCACACCCAGAGCCGGTTTCCACACTGACGTTCCAGTCACCCTCCCCTTCCTGGGATTTCTCTGTCTGGGAGTGGGAACCCCGAAAGCTGGGTGTGATCTCGGCGTGACTCCTGCCACGACTCCTGTGTCCACGCCACGGCAGAGCTCGGCCCGGCCCTGCTGCCCACTCGCTCCCATCCCTTGCTGTCTCCCAAGTGGCCAGCTGCAGGGGCTTCCTGCTTCCCCAGCTCTGCCACTGCTGGGTCTCCCTCGGTTTCCAGAACCGAGGCCTACACCCCAGCCCCGCCCCATCTTGCTTTTGATGGAGGTGGCCAGTGCTTCTCCCGCACCTCACACCCCGCTCCTCCATGCTGCTGATTTGCTTCCACGCCAGGAAGACTTTGTCCATGTCGCTGTCCTCTCACCTGCCGGGGACCCCCTCTGCAGCCCTTCCCTCCCCAGGGACCACCCCCAGTCCTCCGAGCAGCCCCACCCCAGCTCTGGGCTGGGCAGGAGTTCACTCCTGCTGTTCTCTGCTCCGGAACTGGGAGTGTCTTTCAGAGCTCAAGTCCTGCCCCAGGCCGTCTGGTGGATCAGGGGACAGGAGCTCTCCTCCCCTTTCTCAGCTGGCTTGGGACATAACGACCTGCTTTCAATCCCTTCCAATTAAGGGATTCTGACAGGAATTTGGAAAACAAAGCCGAAAGCCCGCGGCTTGGATGGTGGCCATGCGTGGCTTCCAAGTCCGCCTGCTCAGATTCCAGAAAGGCTTTTCTCACCTGCCCTCGCCTCCCTCCAGGCTCCCATCTGGGGCTGTCTGGCCATGCCCGCTCCCCATTTTCCAGCTGGGCAACGGCTTCTCCGGTCTCTGGCGCTGGGCTGTGTGCCCTGGAGCTGGGCTGGGCTGACACAGAGCTCCGAGGTGATCACCTGGTTCCTAGGCTTTTGGCATTGGGCCTAAGACCCCAAGCCTCAGTTTCCCTAAGTCTATCATAGGAGTCATACCACCCACCCTTCGGCGTTTGAGGTAGAAAGCCCAGGAAGTAACAAGCAGTTAACAATCTCCTTCTTCCCTCCTAACTTGTGGAAGGGTAGGGAGTGGGCGCGGCGGGTGTGTAGCGGTCCAGAAAGAGTTAGGAGGGCAGGGCCTGCACTGAGGCCTGGCAGCACCTGCCCTGTGGGGGGCGCCTGAGGACCAGGGAGGCAGAGAAAGGAGTACCTTCTGACCTCCGAGCCCACAGACCTAGTTCAAATCCCCGCTGTCACCCAGGTGCCAGGTATATGTGTGCCAGTGTGTGTTGCCTGCTCTGAGCCTCAGTTGCTGCATCTGTGAGCTGGGAGGAACAGTCCCCACATCACAGTGCTCAGGATTCGAGCTGACACACAGGAAGCCCCACGTGGCCGGCTGACCTCAGGCATCATCTTGGTCCCAAATGAACCAGGGCCCCACGTGGTCCTGAGGCCACGCCTGGCACAGTCCTGGCAGGGCATGTGGACAGCTGCTTACTCCAGTCCCTAAGTGACAAAACCACAGCAGATGCCCTTGATCAAGCACCATGTATTCTTGGTCTTGGCTGGTCCTGAACTCGAGGCAACTCTCCGCCTCAGCCTCTGGAGTTCGGGGGCTACAGGTATGCACCACCGCACCCAGCAGTCTGTCTTTAGCAAGGAGACTAAAGCCCAGATGTTGTCACTTGTCCAAGGTCACCAAGCAGGCCAGTGAGAGAGCTAGACTGTGGCCCATGTGGTGGATAGAATCCATGCATTGACACCCTAACACCCAGGCTGGTGTCAGGGTGACGCCCTTGCCAGGTGACTGTTCAGTGAGTGTGGCGATGGGACGGGTTTGTGCCCTGCTGGGTCCCGGGAGGGCCTGGGACCAGGTGCACAGGGGAGGGGATGCCCCGACTGACACTTCCCTGCCCCTGGTCCACACCCCCAGCCCCTTGGATTGGCGAGTGTCTGTTTAACACACACGGTGGGCAGCATGTGCACCTCAGCCTGCATCCTCCGTGTCTCCTCCCTGGGTGGGATGAGGCTCCAGTGTGCTCCTGTCCCCTCCTGCCGGGGCTGCAGCCCTTCCCCTGGGCCGGGCTCTTATACAGCTTCGACGCAGCTAGACTGGATGTCAGGAAGGAACTGTTTCCGGGACAGCGCTCGTCACGCTGGCCGAGGGGACGCCACGCCAGGGGCTGAGCTCGGGCAGCTGCTGGAGCTCCCTGGGCTGTGAGGAGGAGGCCTCTCTGGTAGGCGCATCTGGGGAACCAGCCAGGGCTCCCCTTAGACTTCAAACAGTGCTCTCCGCCTGACTGCGGTTACGGACTTCACTCCACGCCACCGGCGGACACCGGGCACGCGTGCCTCTCCCACCCCGTCCCTTCCGCAGCTGTGGCTTGGGCATTTACAGTCTGTCTGTGGCCGTGGCCCCCCAGTGTTCACTGAGGGGGTGCCCTCGCCGGGCTGGGGAGACACAGGTGGCCTTGTCTCCCTGAGACCTGCTTCCTGGTTCACGAGGTCAGCAGTGTTCTCGGCCCCGCAGCGCCCGCACTGCCATCCAGAATCTCCGCCAGAGCCCACGGCAGAGCTGCTTGAGGCTGGGCTGGACCTTTCAGCACCAGGAGCCTTCAGAACTGCGGGCCACCCGACATTTCCCTGAGCTGTTTCCCCTATGATGGATTTTATCATTATTGTCGATCTTTTTCGTCTTGGGTTGAAGCCTAAGTATAGTTTTTACTTAGGAAGCATTTTGCTTTCGTCTGGTATTTTATCAGGGACACAGCTTGGGGGGAGGAGAGAACCAGCTGGGCTGACAGCAGATTTCCCTTGAATATTTTTTTGTTTTCTTTTTGAGACAGGGCCTAACTATGTAGCACAGGCTGGCCTCAAACTCATGGAAATACTCCTGCCTCAGCCTCTTGAGTGCGGGGGTTACAAGTGTGTCACTATGGCTGAATTTTTGATCCTTATGTGTTAACTATCTCAGATATTTCACGACAGTATTGTGAGGTGAGACGGACTCATACAGTAATTGTTCCACAAATGAAAGACAATCAGATCGGCCATCAAGTTTGAGGATATAGTTAGTACATTCAGAATTGTGTTGCTAGCATCTCTTTGTCACTAAAGGCTAAAGAGATGTTGGAGGCTAAATTGACTTTTTTCTTTAGGGTGTTTCCAAATTTTATGGTCTGAATATTCTCTGTCAAAATTCCATGACATATTAAATTTATATATGAGGCATTTTTTAAATTCAGAAAAATTTTCTTCTATAAGATCTTTGAATATGTTTCTGTCTTGCTGGTCTGCTCTTTTCTTTGGGACGCCCAGTGTGTGAATCCCCGTTATTGGCCTCATTACCTCTGTTCTTGGTTCTCAGTGGAACCCAGTGATCTTCCTGATGCTTCCTCCTGTGCTCAACCTTTCTGTTCTCAGTGGGAACCTGCCTGTGTGTAGTTTTTGTCCCCAGGAAAGGACTTTCGCCCATTATTTTATCAGGAATACAGGTGGGTGGAGGGGACAGTGAGGTGGGGTTGATAGCAGATTCCCCTTGAGTGTCTCCTCTCAGAATTCTAAATCGGCCCTGCCCGGGGAGACGTCACCCTATCTTTGCAAGCACCCCTGGCGGGAAGCTGAGGGGAGTCACCAGGGAGGCCCATGGGCTGCAGGTCCTCGCCTGGCCGCCTGACATTCACGGATCAGACTGCCGCCCCTGGCTTCCACCGCACCTCTCCATGTCTGAGCGCTGGTGCTGGCTTGGAGACGCACTTGCTCTGCCCAGGCAGCGTCCTCCACGCCTGCCCCCGCCCTCTGCCTTAGGGAAATGGGTCTGAATGGGCACTGTGGGCTCCAAGGCTCTCTCCCCTCTGGGATTGTCTTGGGGACATTCTCTCCTGGTTTCGAGGGACTCTGGCAACACACATAACTTCTCCTTAGCAGATTTACTTAAGGCAATTTTAGCTTCTGTGACAAACAACCTGCCTCCAAATGTCCCCAGGCCAACAGGATACAAGTTCCGGTCTCCCTCATAACTGCCAGGGGCAGACGTTTCCCATCATCAGGTAGCTTGACATTTCCGTTTTGCTGGGTCTAGGTGTCCATGAATCCAACCAGAGAAGGGAGGAGAGAGAGAGGACCAAGTCCCCACCGCCTGGTCACAGTGGCCCGGAGGACACGCAGGTCACGTCTGACCCGTTTCAGCTGTGACACAGTCACATGGCAGTGGCTCCCCTGAGCCCAAGGCGGGGTGCGGCCCTCCTGTCCCTGCGCCCACTCTCCTGCGGAAGGGGGGTGGCTCCGAGCCCCTCATCTCAGCCCCGCGCCTCTCTCCTAAGCTCACTGAAGGGGGGTTTTCTCTACCCTTTGTACCCTTTTTGCTGTTTTAGTGGGTTTTGGAGAAGGTGTCCTTTGACTCCGTCTCCCAGCTTCTCTGTCAGTTTTCTCTAAATGAGTGGCCAGCAGACCAGACGCTGGACATCCCTCTCCGGAGGGCAGAGGGACGGAGCCCTGCTGGACAGAGCGGGCGCTCTCCCGCTGCTCCGCCTCCCTGCGCCTCCCTCCCTCGAGGGCCTCTCCTGGGGGAGGGAAGAGGAGGGCCGCCCCTGCTCCTTCTTTCTCCCCTGCCCTCTCCACCTCCGTTTGGCTCAAGGCTTTCGCCTCCTGCCTCCCTGCCCTGACTTCTCCTCCCAGAATGAAATCTGGTCAAGCCTGGCGGGGGCTCAGGGCTTCCTGCTGCCAAACCAGGCTGAACAATGTGCCTCCCTGTAGCTTGGCTGAGGGGCTGATCCTGGGGAGGGAAAGCTGTCTGTCTGGGTCGCACAAATCACTGGTGAGGACACTGGAGCCACACTCCAGCGGTGTTAACAGTCCTGCCCGAAGTAGAGCAGGACGTGGACCGAGGAGACCCTTCCGGCCTGAACTGCCCTGACCCAGGCTGGCAGTGGTACTCAAGTCCACTGTGGCAAGTGACTTGCAGTGTGACAGTCATAGGGCAGCACAGTGTGGCCGGGCACGTGGCCCCAGCATCCTTGGACATGGGCTGATGCCTGCTCGCCATTCGCTGGGTGGGGACCTGACACGCATTCGTAAAGTAAGCGAGTTCCGTTCCCTGCCTGCAGTAACATTGAGCGAGCATCTGCCCTGCTGGCGTTAGGAGGCTGCATCAAAGTCGGTCTTGGCACAGAAGAGACTTTCAATGCTTGCTGCACCAGTAAATGCCAAATACCCCGAGTTGTTAAATCAGAACCTGAAATATTCTAAGCAATCAAACCAGGGCTGGTTATATTAGTAATGACTGATTACTAATGACAATATTAGTAATGGTTTACTGCAGAAACAAAGCCCCCACAGTCTTGTGTCTTAAAACAGAGAAGGCTTGTTTTTCACGCATGCTCTATGTCCAGTGACGCACAGCTGGGGACCCCACCCCAAGTCACCTTGGCGGGGGAGCAGCCACCACCTGGGGAGCTGTCGGTCGGTCCCGCCCGCCGGTAAGGAAGTAAAGCATTTGCCCCATTCTCCGAGGCTGACTTTGGTTGTCTGACAGCCTGGCTGAAGCGATGAAGTGACACGGACAGATCTGCAGCAAGCAGAGACCTGACCCAGCGTTTCTGTCTGACCTCTTTGACCCCACCTTGGCTGGAGGACACTCGGGCTCCAGCTGACACTCGCAGCCTGCACAAGGCTGTGGGAGATCAGCTGACGCCTCGCCACCCCAGACGTGTGTGTGTGAGACCGGATTAGATCAGAAGGGCCTCTTGGCCAACCCCAGCCAACCCCAGATTTTCGAGTGATCAAGACTGCTGCACTGGAGGCTCAGGCTTGGTTGTTACGCACCGTGACTGTGGCAGTAGATGACTAGTGCACTGTGGCTTAGCCTCAAGATCTCCAGGACCTAGGTTTGTGCCTGAGCACATGGCAGATTTTCTGATGACCTCAAAGAAGCCTGCAGGGCTGGACCGCACAGATTCCCGAACTTGCCCTCACCGGGCTTCCTCCCCGACTCCGGCTGGGATCTAACCGGGCTCCCCCGCACTCCTACTTTGCCCAGCACCGTCTGGCCGGTGTGTGCCCGCTGGTTAGCCTCTCCGCAAAATCTCAGCCTTTACTCCACAGGGCAAGCAGCTCCGGGCAGGCCTTCCACTGTGGGAACTTCCCCAGCAGCCGGTATTTCTGAGGCCACCGCCCCTCTCAGAGGGCGGCTGAGTGCTGACTTTAGGGTGCCAACATTCACCCCCCCTGTACGGGAGGAAGGCTGGGACATCAGTCTTGTGCAAACACCCAGTGAAAGTGGAGCCGTGCTCCAGGGCGGCGGGTGACACACCAGCTCCCTCTTATCTACACGAGGGCATGTAGGTCCCGGGTCAGGAGGGCAGGAGAGGCGACTGGCACCAGCTCTGGGCCAGCACCCCGCCCTGGTGCTGGGTGCTCTGGGACTTGGCCTGACTGATCGCAGCTTGGCCTGGGTCTCTGTGGCTCAGTGGAGCTTTGCTGGGCACACGGACACCGGCCCAGAGAGGCTGCAGGGCGACACCCAATGCAGAGTGCCCCACTGCCAGGCCCTGGTCTCGGGGGGATTTAGCCTGCTGGGGAGTGGGGTGTGGACCACTCTGGGCATGTGAGCTGAAGCTGGTTCTGTCAACCGGAGCTCCACACCGGCTGCTGGGCTCCCGGAGCCAGGGCGATTGCCAGTGGGCAGGGAGAGCTGGCACCGCACCATTGCCTTAATCCCCTCTGTGCAGGAATGTGCCTCGCAGAACAGCGGGGCTGC